TACATAGACCAGTTGCCACAGTATCTTAGATATGTGTGGAATTATAAAAGACTTATCCTTGATTCTTGAACCGTGTTCCTAATGCTAATATTTTAAACACACTATAAGGGGCAGAACATGTCTGGCACATGTGACTTGATTGTACCATAAAAATGATGTTCTTGAGTATAGATTCAGATTGTAATCTGCTCATATTTCACTTTAATGTCACAACAATGATGATGTGTTTTTTGATACCTGATACCTGCTTCTCTCAGGAGAATTGCTACTCACATCACTAACTTGGTTACGATGTTCAATGGTAACTTCCCAAACGAGAGAGATCAGTATTTCTTATTTCTTTTCCCCACCTCAACTCCCCCTCAAACAGAATCTCATGGTGCAGCCCTTTCTGGCAGAGACTCATTATGTAGCATTAAGTGGGAAGCACAAGTAAAAGTGTCTTGGAGTATTGACTGATTGATGTGCATAACCCATCACATTTGATGCAGAAAGATCATTCTTCATGATTGCTTTGCTCTAGTCAGTTTCTGGAAGAGTCATGGCTCTATTTCCCTACCAAGAAGTTGCAGTGTTTTAAAGTGGAGATTTGGGAAATGGACTCTGGCCTGCAGGTTTGCATTGCTATACAGACTTATGACTCAGACAGAATATGTCACCATTTTCCTTTTCCAGAGAACTAAAAGAATTATGAACACTACTAATCTAAAATCTATTGGACAATAGTACAGCATAAGTACTGAAAAGGGACACATTGAAAACTACAAAATTCAGACTCAATAGGACAGATTTTCTCCTGAGCCATTCTTCTGTGGTCTATTATATTTGAAAAGCAGTGAAAGATACTATAATTCTCACACAATTTAATATATTCATTTACTAACATGAATGCATTCAAGTTACAATAGTTATGTGTATATGCTTAGTTGTGATTTCAATATTATTTAATGTGTTTTGGACTTCCCTCAATTTTTATAACTCTGTGGCAATGAAATTTTCTTCAAAACTTCTAAAATTGCTATTTTTCTACATTGCCTTATGCTTATTGTTAGGACAATTTTAGATTATAAAAAATATGGCTAATGTGGATTTAGTAGTTTGGTAGTAACTCAAATATTCTTATAAAATTAACTCTAAAAACTACATGATTTTATATGTTAATGTTAAAATGACCAGTTTTCAATGTTGTTACACTTCTTCTTACTGTGGAAAAAAACAAAACTCTTTGCCTATAAGGGCAGTCATGAATTTTGCTTTCAAAGTTACCCCCTTCTTCCTTTAATGTTATATCATTTGACCTAAAGTTTAAACATCCCAACTGAGCCTGTTATAATAGAGTCATGTAAGGCCCCAATACACACAGAATTGATTCAGTAACTGTCTTTAGCATGATTTACAGGTACAGCATTTAAAATCATATTCCCTCATCATGAATTTTCCTTCTGGTACATGTATCCTGTAGTCCTGTGGGATATGAACACAGCATCCTTAGCAGATCAATAACTGTATCCAGACCTTAAATTTATGTCTTTTCATGTATATGCTTAAGACACTATTGTGTCATCCTGTTTTTACAGATTTAGAAAATTTATCATAAAATGTGACTACATTAGAAATAATCTTTTTGATTAATTTTCTTCATTTATATCTACATCCCTGATATCCATATGTCTCCTTATGCCTAATACTACATGGTCAAAAATGTACATTTTTATTTCAGGGTCTGTTGTCATTCAGGGATGTGAATGCGAACTTCTCAAAAGAGAAGTAGGAATGCCTGGACTCAGCTCAGATGACTTTGTACATTGATGTGATGTTGGAGAATTACAACGACCTGGTCTCTGTGCATGAAAATATTTTGCTTCTAGAACTTATCCTTTGTATGTAATTGACTTCACAGGTTGTGAGTTCTCTGTTAATCTGTCTTGGAAAGAACAGGAGACTAGGGAATGCTTGGTAGTAGGAAAGAACTTTTCTATGGAATGTGGTTTTTCTCTACATTTTAAAAATTTTATAGGTGTCCTGAATTCTTCATTTTGGTTACAATATGAATTCAGAAACTCAGCAATATATAAAATTTCCACCATATCTTTTTTCCTTTATTTCTTCACATTGAAAACAAAATCATTTCTCATATTTTTATTAAACACATTAAATAATATGTATATCTGGTTATACTTTCCCATCCCTCTACTCCTCCCAGTTCCTCCACATATCCTTTCCCCCTCATTATCCACTCCATTTCTTTCTCTCATTAGAAAAGAACAGATTTCTTAGAGATAACAAACAAGCATGACAAAGTAAATGTAATAAGATGTAGGTGGAGACTGCTTTTTTTCCTGGCTGCCCAGACCAGTAAGGTTTTTCAGCATCTTTCTCCTTCAGCAGCTACAAGGTGTCTCCCTAACTCTGCCTACTCTCTATCTCTGTTCTGATTTATTGCCTGGCTTTACTCTGCTAAGCCATTAGCCCAAACAGCTTTATTCATTAACCAATAAAAGCAACACATATAAAGATGGGCATCCCACATCATCTCCCCTTTTATGTCTAATTAAAAAGAAATGTTTTAAATTTACCTAGTAAAATTACATATAACAAAACATGTATTAAGCAAGAATTACACTTATAATAGTCTATTATTTGTATCTGGAACATTTCATATCTAATTTATTTTTTATCATACCTAAGGAAAATATGTCTGTCTTAATCTTAGGGTCATGGGTTCAAGCTTCATGTTGGACACCACTTTTGTAAAAAGAGACTGCTTGTTCATCCTCACCTGCCAAGACCTGTAAGGTTTTTTGGTGTCTTTCTCCTTCAGCAGCTACATGGTGTTTCCCTGACTCTGCCTACTCTCTCTCTCTCTCCATCTCTGTTCTGATTTACCACCCGGATTTACTCTGCTAAGCCATTGACCTAAATAACTTTATTCATTAACCAATAAAAGCAACACATATACAAAAGGACACCCCACATCAATAAGATAATGCAAAAACCATCATGTTGAATTTTGACAAAGTAACCCAACAGAAGGAAAAGAATACTAGGAACAGGTACAAGCATCAGAGATCCACTCAGATTTTCACACTCAGGAGTCCCATGATAAGACTTAAAGCTATAATACATATGCAGAGGGCCTGGTGCACACCCATGTAGGTGTGCTGCTTCTGTCTCTGTGAATTCATTTGCACTTGGCTAGTTGGTTCAGAGGGCCTTGTTCTTCTGTTGTCCTCCATCCCCTCTGACTCTTAGAGTCCTTTTACTTCCTCTTCTGAATGGTTCCCTCAGCTCTCAGGGGAAGGATTTGATGAAGACATCTCATGTTGACTATCTCTCTCCAAACTGTCTGGTTGTGTATCTCTGCATCTTTTCCATCTGCTGCTGGGGAAGCTTCTCTGATGATGACTGAATAAGGCATTGACATATGAATATAGTAGAATATTATTAGTAGTCATTTTATTGACACCAGTAGATTTTGGTTTCCCCTAGGTCTCTGGTCCTTGGTTACCCAAGCAATGTCAGCTTTGGGTTCCATCATATGGACTGAGCCTTTAATAAAATCAGACATTTGTTGGCTACTTCCACAATTTCTGTTCAGTCATTGCCCTAGCATGTCTTGTAGTCAGGAGAGATGGTAGGTCACATATTTTGTTGCTTGCTCCACCCATATCTTAAAGCTCCATGTTCACAATTACATTTGACATCATTTTAATTGTGAGAAAAACTTGAGATATGCAAACTGAAAATTCTCCCTAAATATGATGAGATTCTGATAGGAAATAGCAATTGGCCAATTTTTCCTAAATTCCTCTACTTTGTTCTACTCATGTGTCATGCACAGTACTATGTTAGACTACTGTATTCTTTTTTATTTTACATGCATTGGTGTTTTGCCTGCAAGTATATCTGTGTGAAGGTATATCACCTGGATCTGAAGTTGTAGATCTGAATTTCCTCTTGGACTGGAAATTAAACCCAGGTCCTTAGGAAGAGCAGTCAGTACTCTTAAACCCTGAGCTATCAATCCAGCCCCAGACTTCTTTATTCTTTATTCATGGGTCATGGGCAACCACACAGAACATGTGAATTATTATATGTAATGTAGTCCTGGTCACTTGTCCAGAACATATGAGATTGCCCTAGAATGTGGCCAGAGACTAGATATCCCAGGAGAGAGGAAAGGGCAGCCACAACCATGGTGGGATAGTGCATTGTAGCCACCATCAGGAACAGACAAGCTGGAACCTTGCCATAAGCCACAGCCACATGGCAATACACAGATTAATAGAAAGGGTTTAAATTAAGATGTAAGAGCTAGCCAATAAAAAGCTAGAGCTAAAAGACCAAGATGTGATTGCATTAATACAGTTTCTGTGTGATTATTTTGGGAGTCAGGGCAGCCAGAAAATAAACAAGCAGCTTCCTACAACAGTGAATGAGCAAGAAAACAGTAAAGGCTTCAAGTGAAAGAGAAAAGAAGACATGAGAATGGTTTTGCAATATTCTTTTTTATTTGAAAGGATTCTTGATCACTTAATTTAGCATAGTGTCCTGGCTCCAGGATGCATCTTTCCTGTTGTCATTGTTAGAATATGCTATGCCAGCCAGGGCTGTGGTATTGCACTCCTTTGATCCCAGTACTCAGTAAGCAAAAGCAGGTAAATCTCTGAATTTGAGCCTAGCCTTGTTTAGAGAGTGAGTTCAAGGACAGCCAGAACTACAAAAGGAAATCAAGTCGAGAAGAAAAAATGATAAAGACATTGTTCCTATTACATCTGAATTATGGTGACTTTAATACATGACTATTTACAAATTATAATTCAAATGATGTAGGATTATTCTGTAATTGCTTTCCTTGCATGCATACCTTCATATTACATCCTTCATTTTATTCCCATTGGAGAATACACAGACCCCCTTCAGGGAAATAATCTCAGGAACTGGTACACAGAGTGGACCTGAGAATAACCCTGTGAGGAATACCGCCTTCAGGGAAATAGTCTCAGGAGTTGGTACACAAGTGTGGGATATATGGGAAATATTTCAGTACCACCTCAAGCTACAGTGTACAGCAGAGGTTTGATACTGGAAACAAACCCTACAAGTGCAACATTTGTCACGGATCCTTTACCCTTTGCTCAAATCCTAAAACACATCTAAGACTTTATACTGGGGAGAAGCCTTACAAATGCAGAGCATGTGAAATGTCATTCTCTCAGTTGTCTGCGCCTTAAAACCATCAGAACATGCATAGTGGAGAAAAGTGATGCCAATGTAAAGAATGTGACAAATCTTTTGCCTATCGTTCTAGTTTGAGAAAGCATCAGAATGTCATACTTCTGAGGAACACTACAGTTGTTAAGAATGTGGCAATGTCTTTCACCAGCTTTCACATTTGAAAAACCATTACAGACTCCACAGTGGAGAGAAGTCTAACAAATGCAATGACTGTGGCAGATCCTTCCCCACTGTTTATTCTTTAGAAAGCATCAATAAAATCTTTCTCTAGAGAAATTACACAAATGCAAAGAATATGATAAGCCCTTTATTGTGTTACCACATATTAAAGGCATTACAGAATTGATTCTGATGACAAGCCTTATAAATGTAGGGAATATGACAAATGCTTTACCCAGGACTCACATCTTAGAAGACATCAGAGAGTTCATACAGGAAAGAGACCTTACAAATGCAATGACTGTGACCTATCCTTTAATCAGATTTCAAATCTTAAAAGACATCAGAAACTTCATACTGGAGAGAAACTTTACAAATGTATGGATTGTGACAAGTCCTTTACCCATACCTCACATCTTAGAACACACCAGAGAGTTCATATTGGAGACAGACTTTTCAGCTGTAAGGAATGTGACAAATCTTCTACTAATGGCTCAATTCTTAAATAATATTAGATAATTCATAGTGAGAAAAATACCATTGTAAATAATGGGCATAACATTTTTCTAGTATTATCTGCTTGCAAATAGCAACAGCAGAAACATAAATATAAGAATTTGTGAAAGCCTTTCATGAAGATTCAAATCTTAGACAATATAAGAGAATTTATACTCAAATACTCAAATAAAAATACTCAAATAAAATTCTGCAAATGTAACTCTGAAAATTTTTTTATGTGTATGACTGCTTGGTGCAGGAGAATTATCTGTATTCTGTCAACCATGCATTTTAATAAAACACTGATTGGCCAGGCAGGAAGTATAGGCGGGTCAACCAGACAGGAAGTAGAGGTGGGGCGATGAGAACAGGAGAAGGCTAGGAAGGAGGAAGCCCATTCCTCCATTCCTACCCAGACCACCGAAGAAGCAACATGTGAGCTGACAGCTGAGAAAGATACCAAGCCATATGGCTAATGGCTAACATAGATCAGAATAATGGGTTAATATAAACTACAAGAGTTAACAAGAAGCCTAAGCTAATGGGCCAATCAGTTTTATAATCTTATGGAGTCCTCTGTATGATTTTCTTTGGGTTATGCCGACTGTGGGGTGCTGGGTGGGTCAGATACACCAACAAGCCGGCCCCTCATGTTACAGCTTCTTTGCCTGAAAGTATTTCTGTGCATGACATGTTATGTCTGTTGCCTGTGGAGGCCAGAAAAGGCATAAGATTCTCTGAAGCTAGAGTTGCAGACATTTGGGAGCTCCTATGTGTGTGTGTTGGGAATTGAACCCCAGTACTTTGGAAGAGAAGTCAGTGCTCTTAAGCACTAAGTCATCTCTCCAACCCCTGGGAAAAGTTGTAGTAAATACATTTATCTTGTCCAACATCCAAAAATTCATAATAATACCAGACTAGGTGGTGCATGCCTTTAATCCCAGTATTCAGCATACCAGAGACAAGAAGATCTCTGTGACTCTGATGCCATCCAAGTTTACATAGTGAGTCAAGATAGGTAGAACTACATAGGTCCTGTCTCAAAGAAAAAATGCTAAGAACAAATGTAGTAACATAAAAATGTTACAAACTCTTTAGTTTTCCCTCTAATTGGGCTGTGCATTACAAAGTTCATACTTTTCAGAAATTGTCTAAAGGTATATTGTATATAATCCCCGTGTTGTGTTGCTCATTGGACATTCACCCACCAAACACAATGAATGTGACAAATCTTTACACAGTACTCAAATTACCAATGTAAAAGCAAATTTATTATGAAAGATAAATATCGTCTTACTATCATGAAAGGTAAGACTTTATTAAAGTCTTATCTTTTGTTCACTTTCAAAATCTTCATACTACAGTCAATCATTACAAATATCACGAAAGTGAGAAACTATAAAGATATGGACAGTGAATGGTAACAACATGGGCATCCTAACATACGGCTCTGAAATACCCAAGGGTTCTGGGTGGTGGTGCATACCTTTAATCCCAGCACTCTAGAGACAGAAGTGGGTGGATTTCTGTGAGTTAAAAGGCAGCCTGGTCCAGAGGGAAAATTCCAAAACAGCTAGATATACACAGAGAAACCCCATCTTCAAAAGCCAAAATAATAAGTAAAAGAAATCCCTGAGGGCAAGCAGGAATTCATTATGAAGTACTAAAGAAAAATTGGGAAGTATTTACTCTATAATCTAAAATAAAATGATATAGGTACCACTAATTTCCAGTAGATCTCATGGAGGTAAATGAGACTGTTGGACCCAACCTCAGTCATGATGAAATGGTAATTGCCCCAATCTTACACAACTTCTTGTTCTTAGTACTTTCTGGACTGTTATGAATCTCTGTTATTATTCACTATCTACTGCAAGAGATAGTGAATAGCTTCTTTCCACAAGGTTGAGAGTAGTACAAATTGATCATTATAAATGTGAATATTTACATGGCAGATAAACAACATGATCATTAGCAAAATATCAGTAGGTTCTGCCCTTGGACCTATACCTACTTCTCAAGCCTCAGTTTTTGATCACAGCAAGGATTCCTCTCTATGGTGTAGTCTTCAAATTCAAGAGGGTGGTTGTTTATATCAATGAACAGTCCTGCTAGTATTGCAACTGTGCACACATCTTGGCTAGTAGATTGGTACTGTAAGATGCACAGCCCAGGGGTAAGTAAGACTATTGACATCATTTCTCTGCAGACAGCCTGTACAGGACTTTACCGTACTACAAAAGCTAGCCAGGTGGGAGAGCTTTCTAGTCAGTTCAAGATTACTCTCTTTATCTTGCCACCAAAATGTTTGGTGTCTTTAGCAACACCATGCAATTATGGCAGCCAACCAAGACCACTAGCAAGGACCATTTTTGTTTGGGATGACAGTGGGACTTCCTTGTTCAATAATTGTTAGAAAAATAACCAGTACCTGTAACAGAGAGTTACATTTAATATCCCTGTGACTGGGAACAGCATTATTTGCTCATTCAGGACACCTCTGCTCAAAGTTTTTAAAATTATATTTCATATTAACTTTTAAGACAATGGGATTTCATAAGTCTTCTTCATACATCTTTCCTTTTGACTCTCCCTCTCTTCCTTCTTTCTTCGTGTCTCATCCCCAGTTAAACATTAGCGCATATTCAGTACTGTATTCTTTTATAGTGCATATATTCTACTATCTTCTCTTATTATATTTTTTACTTGGGTTGCAAAATGATCAGCTCCCATGTAGGTTCTTCATAGACATCTCATTTAAGTTGGCTTGCCTTAAAGAGTGTTTCTATTGCTGTGATGAAACACCATAACCAAAAAGCAAGTTGGGGAGAACAGGGTTTGTTCAGTTTACACTTCAGCATTGCTGTTCATTACCGAACAAATCAAAATAGGAATTTAAACAGGGCAGAAACATGGAGCTGATGAAGAGGCCATTGAGGGGTGCTGTTTACTGACTTGCTTTCCTTGATTTGCTCAGTTGCCTTTTTTTTATAGAACTGAGAATCACAAGCCCAGAAATAGCACTACCAACTATGAGCCACTCCCTTCCACATTGATACTTACTTGAGAAAATCCCCTACAACTGAATCTCATGGAGGTATTTCCTCAACGGAAGCTCCTTCCTCTCTAGCTTGTGTCAATATAATACACAAAACCAAGCCAGTGCATGACCTTTCAGCATCCTCTTCTTTTTGCTACTACTCTACTACATGTTTGGACCATTCCACTAGGATTCCCACTCTCTAATTTAATATCACCTATATTCTACTATTTACCCTCTCTTTTTGTATCTCTCCACTAATGGTTCATTTCTAGATTCCTGACTTGTATATGTGGTCTTGCTAGAATGCACAAAACAAAATTTCAAGCTAAGAGAAACATTTTCATTTTTTAGTGTCAGGTGATAGCCATCGATGTTTATTACACATCCTAGATGCTCTAAATAAAATAGCAATAAACATGATGGTAGGTGCTCACTGAAACGATGGCAAGTCTTTTGATTTTCTGCCCTCAAGTGTTTATTGTGCATCAGCTTCCTTTGAGATTAAAAGCTTTCATCTTGGAGGAAGCACCAAAAACCAAAAAAAGTATAGGAATTTGAGGAAGTAAATAAGCTAAGAAGTAGACAGTTTAATAGCTTCAGGAAATTGCAGAAACTGGCAAGACTCACTAGTAAACACCTACCTCAAGCATACTTAATCAGTAAGGGCTACTGACACTGTCAGACAAGCTGAGCTGCAAAGAAGATGCTCATACCAACCATGAAGCAGACACCAGTCAAATTGCCTGGGCCAGACAAGACAAGACAAGACAAGACAAGACAAGACAAGACAAGACAAGACAAGACAAGACAAGA